CTCACGTGTGTTGTTGTTTATTTTATAGGCCTGTTGAATCTTCAGCTGAAAGGTGGACTTTCAAAATGGCTTCAGTTCTGAGTTAGCAGGGTATCCGGGGGGCATATTCTGATTTTTTTTTTTAATTTAAATTTCTATAAAGTAAGATGCACTTTTTGTGGGGAACACATCTATGGGTTTTGACAAATAGAATCATGTATCCACTACCCTAGTGATGAATCAGAAAATTTCTGTCACCTCAAAAATGTCCATCACTCCAAAAATTTCCCTGTGGTGTTTGCTTATAGTCAGCCCTTCCTTCCACCCTCAACCCTTGGCGACCACTAATCTGTTCTCTGTCCCTGTCATCTTTCTTTGACAAGAATGTCATGTAAATGGAATCATACATGTATTCTTTTCAGTCTGGCTTCTTTCACCTAGCCTAATACATTGAGTATTCATCCATGTTGGCATATGCACCTTTTTATTACTGAGCAGTATTCCACTGTATGGATGTTCCACAGCTTGTCTTTCCAGTCACCAGTTAAGGGGCAGTTTTTAACTGGAGTCAATTATAAATCAAACCATTATAAACATTTGCATCTAAGTTTTTGTGCGAGCCTACCTTTTCATTCCACTTTGGTAACTATCTAGGACTGGGATTGCTGGGTTAAATGGTTTAAGTATATGTTTAACATCACCAGAAACTGCCAAATGGTTTTGCAAAGTGACTGTGGCTGTACAATTTGCATTTCCGCCAACAACGAATGAGTGTTTCAGTTGCCCCACATCTTGGTCATGTCAGGTTCGTTTTGTTTTTTCTTCTCGGTTGTGTTAAATGTGTCGAAGTATCTCCTTGGGGGTTTAATCTGTATGTCTCTAATGACGAATGGTGCTGAGCATCTTTTCGTGTGTGTTTACCATCGTCTCTCTGCAGCTCTTCTTTGGTGAAATGTCTGTTCAAGTGTTTTGTCCATTTTCTAATCGAATAGTTTGTTTTCTTTCCGTTGAATTTTGAGGGTTCTTTGCCTATTCGGGGAAAGCCTGGTGGTGTAGTGGTTAAGAGCCACAGCTAATAACCACAAAGTCGGCAGTTCGAATCCACCAGGTGCTCCTTGGAAACCCTATGGGGCAGTTCTACTCCGTCGTTTAGGGTCACTATGGGTCGTAATCAACTGGACGGCAACTGGTTTCATTTGGTTTGCTTACATATTTGGCATAAAAGTTCTTCATCAGATCTATGATTTGCAAGTATTACCTCCTAGTTTGTGGCTTGCTTTGTCATTCTCTTAACTTTGTCTTTTGAAGAGGAAACATTCTTAATTTTGCTCAAGTCCAATTTGTCAGTGTTTTTATTTTAGGTACTATGCTTTCGGTGTCATATCAAAGGGATGTTTACCTAACTCCGGGTCACAGAGATTGCTGCCTTTGTTTTCTTCTAGCTATTTTGGGTTTTTAGGTTTTGTATTTAGTCCTAGGGCCCCTTTTGGGTTAATGCTGGTGTAGGATGCAAGATATGGATCAAGGTTTTTTTGTTTTTTGTTTTTTGTTTTTTTTTTTT